TGCCCAAGGAGATCCGTTCAGGAAAAAGTTGCTCATGTTTATATTCAAGAGATTTTTGCCTATGTTTTCTTCTAAGAGTTTTATGGTTTCGTGACTTACATTCAGGTTTTTGATCAATTTTGAGTTTACTTTTGTGTATGGGGTTAGACAATAATTCAATTTCATTCTCTTGCATGTAGCTGTCCAGTTTTGCCAACACCAGCTTTTGAAGAGGCTGTCATTTCCCCATTGTATGTCCATGGCTCTTTTATCATATATTAATTGACCATATATGCTTGGGTTTACATCTGGGCTCTCTAGTCTGTTCTATTGGTCTATGGGGCTGTTCTTGTGCCAGTACCAAATCAACTAAACACTCTTGAGAAAAGCCAGGAGAGGGGTTTTCAGTTCTTTCCACAGACGCCTTCAGCAGTTGTCATTTTCCTCTGGTGTCTCAGACCCATCCAGGGCCTGAGTGAGGACACTGGGAAGGTTCACCCGGCTTTCTGCCCAGGCTCCAGTGGGAAGGTCTGGGAGGTGGGGATGGTGAACTCAGGAAGTGGGAAGATAAAGGTTTAATTTTCACCTGGCTAGGGCTCCCTACCACGTTTGTAGGTAGCAAGTTCCTAGTTTTCTTTTTTTTTTCTTTTTTGATTGAAGGACAAAACAGAACTCTGTTACCTAGACTTTTGTCATTATATTGCAAGTCTTTTGTTGTTTTGTATGATTATAAGAATATAGTAGTATTTTGTGACTTGGGTGTTTTTAATTTACCGAAAGGGTAGTATGTTTATAACTTTTTTCCCCTCAGGAGTATGACAGAATCCTTACGCATGGAACTTTCTAGGCTACCCAAGGGTTTTTGCTGGTTATGTATGCAGAGACAGGATTGCTGGATAAAATGAATATGTATCCTTAATTTCACTATGTCACCTAGATGGCTCTCCAGATTGACTGCACCTATTTGTAATCTCATCCATGGTGTGAGGGTTCTCATTTTCCTGTGTCTTCAGAATTTAGTGATGCTTTTAAAGTTTTTTCTACCTTCCATTAGAAGAGTAAATTTTCTGCTGGCAACCACTAACTTACTAGAACCCATAGTTATATTTACTGTTCCCTTTTAATTACTTGTATTTATTAATATCTATGTTCTCATCTATCCCCAAAATATCAAGTACCTTAACACCCATTTACTTTGCCTTAGTCTTTCTCTAGGAACTTCATAGAAATGCAGGTTCTTGGTCCCCACCCAGACCTGCTGAATCAGAAACTCTGGGAGAGGCTGAGCCTCCAGGAGATTCTGATGCTGGCTAAAGTTCTCAAAACGGGGCTTTAGCTCAGGCATGTCCCCTACCCCGCAGCAGGGACATTTGGTAATGTCTGGAGACATTTTTAGTTGTCACAGATGGCGAGGTGGAAGCTCCAGGTCTCTCCTGGAGGCCAGGAATGTGCTCCAGCCTCCTCTGTCAGCAGTGCTAAAGGGGAGACTCCTGCTCTAGAGTTTCTGTTCTAGATTATTAAAAGTGCTTAGAAATTTGCTTTGTTTTGCTTCACCACTGCTTTTATGAGAACGATGAAGTTTACTACATCATTTACTCATTTTATTTCTACATTTCCAGTCAGGCATTTGTCTCTAGTGTGCCACTGAACTAACCATTCGCTTCTTGAAACATTTTCTTCATTTGGCTTCGGGATACCACAATCCTGGTTCTTTTCATGTTTTTCTGGCTACTCTTTCTTCCTTTACTGGCTCTTTCTTCTTTCCTGACAGGCAGTAACACTGTAGGGCTCAGTTCCCAGCTCTCAGATGAGTTTAGAGCTCGCATGGACCTTTGGACTTACTGTTTTTCTCTCATAGAATCTGTTTTGGTTTTGTTTGTGTTTTGAATGATGATGATGATAATAAAAATTCTTTTATTTGGTATAAAATTTTCTCAGAAGATTTCATTTAGTGTTCAGCTTTGCAAGGCTTAATTTCTTCATTTGCAGAGGAAATATGCAATTTATAAGTAGAAAACATATAAATAATAAGGAATATTATCACATAAAGGAGTTTGTGAGCATGTTAAAGACTGAAAAAGGTGGTTTGTGGTTTCACAAAAATAAACTAATCATTCTAGCTACTTTCATATTTGAAGTTTCTATGTTTTTCCCTAGGTTTGTCAAGGGCTATTTAATGAATTACTAGAAAGTGGAATTTCTGTGTGGCCTGGTTATTTGGAAACTGTGCAGTCCTCTTTGGAACAACTTTATTCAAAGTAAGAATTGTCTTCCTTGTCACTAAAGTAGTTTTCATTAAATGATATTTCCTTTATGAGTAACAAAATAAATCTCTTCTAAATATATATGTATTATATATGTATATAAAAAACTTAGTTACTCCTAGCTTTCTCATTTTCAGAACCACACGCCCTTTTGCTGTAGCAGGGAACAATATTCATCAGGTGTATTTGAGCACACACTGTGTGCAGCTTCAGCATTAATGTCATGGAGTATGTGTACCTGAGTTTATCAGTTTATCAGGGATGGAATTATGTGTATGGGATGAATTTGTTGAACCAAGACTGAGGGAACATGAGTGGAGTGCCTTTTCTTTGTTGATATTGTGGTTCATTCAGAGGCTGTGTGGGAGACAGTTCCACCCAGAGGACAGAGCTCTACTCAGTCATCAGCACTTCTGTTCCCTGGGCCACTCAGGACTGAGTCCTGGCGTATCAGGATTTACCTTACCTTACTTCCTCCCTCGTCCTTACTCTCTGCCTCCAGCCCATCCTGCTAACTGTCAGTCAGCCTCCTGAATATATCTCAGATCCATAGCTCTCCATCTTCACTGCCACTGCCCAAGCTGAAGTCACCAAAATCTCTTGGCTGGATTATTGAAGTAACTCCTAATTGATCTTCCTGTTTCTAGTCTTAGGCCTGCCATTTCATTAACTTAAGTAATCCTTTCTTCCCACCTTTGGGTTTATTTTTTATTTTTTAAATATTTTTATGTTGAATACATATCTTTTGGGTGAAAAGTTGTGAAGCTTTGTGTTTTGCTCTTCAGTTCTCTAGTAACTTGTTAAAACACACCTTTCAGATGATGTCAGAGGAAAAATAGGTTTCTGTAGATAAAGCAACTAATGGTTTCATCATACATAAAATGAGGGGGTGGTACTTGAACATTCCAGTCCTCTGAGATCTAAAATCTTACCCTTTGAGTCTTGTGGACATTATCAAGTTACATTGTTCTTTATATTACAAAGGCTTTATTGTGCCAGAAATTTTAAAATCTAAATGTTTATTAAGCACCTACTATGTGTTATGTAGTTTGATACAGCAGTAAACAAGACAGAAAAGTTTCTTCTTATGAAGCTTATATATTTTTGGGAAAAATAGAAAACAAACAAGGAAATAGATAAATAAGATAATTTCTGCTAGAGTTCTACAAAGAAAAGAAACATTAATGAGGCCATGTGACTGGGTAAGCCTGGGGCAGGGATGGGGGGTAAGCCAGTGTGGATATGAGAAGGCCAGTGGGGATATATTCAGTCATTGTTGAACTAAAAACTCTAAGTTAGCAAATTAAATTATATATTAAGCATGATTATGGTGTAAGTTATTGTACTATAGGGCTTTATTCTGGTAATATTATTAGAGACTTTATTCTAAAATATTTTTTCTTATATTGTATCCAAATTCCAGAAGGCTGAGGTTATTCTTAGGTTCATCCATAATATCACCCCAAATGATGTGTTGAGGTGCCAGTGTTTCTCAGATTTTGTTTTCCATTATGACTTGTCAGCTATCACGAGTCAGAAACTTTCTGAAAAGTTTACTTAGAATATGATTCAGAAACTTGAAAAAGGTGTTTTTTTTTGGTCTAGCTCTCAAACTCTGCCTTTGAGTTCTATAACTCTTAAAAGTGGTGTGAATTCTGAAGTAATTAAAGCTGATAATGTGATGAATTTACAGTTTATATTTGTGCTTATGTATTTTGTTGAACTACTTTTTTCTTAGATATGATGAAATGAGTATCCTCTTCACAGTTTTGATTACTGAAGCTACTTTGGAGAATGGATTAATACAGCTGAGAAGTAGAGACACCACAATGAAGGAAATGATGCATATATCCAAAGTAAAAGACTTTTTAACCAAGTATATATCATCAGCTAAGAATGTATAGATTTTAATATTTGTATAATAAATACTCTCCTTTCCTAATTGGTTGTCTGACATTGTTAGATTTTTTTTTTAGCCCCTTTGCCCTTATGATGTGGACATTTTGGTGCTTTTTTTAAATCAGTTTTTATTATAATTTTGATGTAGTCCATTGTATCAGGAATATGTTCAATTATAAGAAAAAAAATCCTACTATGCTGTATAAGCAAATTGGAGTTTGTTTTTCTCAGTAAGAAATCTAGGGGGTAGACTGTCCAGAGCTGGTATAATTATTTTTTCTATAGTTAGGGACCCAGGCTGTTGCTATCTTTCTGTTTCACCATCTTTTATGTTGGCTTTCATCTTTATACCTGTTGCGTCTTGGTCGCAAGGTGGCTGCTTTATTCCTAGCCTTCTCATCCACATTCTAGTTGGGAAGAAGACAAGCCCTAGCCAGGAAAACTCTTCCCTTTTGAGGAAAGTAAAAAAGCTTCTCCAGACAGCCCAATCACAAGACTTGTTTCCATTTCATTGGTCAGAACTGGGTCACACGGTCATTCCTAGGCTCATCACTGTCCAAAGGAATGAGAATATCATCATTAGTTTGGATTAAACACATCCTGTGGGACTACAGAAATGTCTTACCCTTTTTGAAATGGGTTTTGTTATTAGGAAAGAAGCAGTCTTTATGGAATCTCCCACATGTATACCATCAAATACCAAAGATTAACCTAAAACTGAACTTTTAAAAATTAGAACGTTTATTAATTTTTGAAGAGCAAGATAAAATAAATGTTAGGTGGCACAATCTAATATTACAGAGTATTTCATGTCTGGTTCTAATAGAGCCGTTTATGAGAAACCTTTGAACTTTTATGTGCTGTTTATGTTTTTGTTAATTTACTATTATTACCAACCTGACAACCATTCCAACTGATAATATGTATAAAATATCTTAAAGCTAATTTTCTTAGTTGACTTTACTTAGCATGTTTGGAGTTTTCAGTTAATTACTTTTTGCTACTGTGGAGAATTTCAAACAAACATATATAGAATAGTGTAATTAACCCCAAGTACCTGTCACCCAGCACCATGACCAGTCTCACCACATCCATCAAATACCACCCTTCCATATTACTTTGAAACAGGTCACAGCTATCTTTTGATTTGTAAACATCTTAATTAACAACCTTTTGTCACCATTATTACACCTAAAAAATTAACAGTAGATGATATTAAGAAATTATTGACAGTTTTCTTGGATGTGATAAAGGTTTTACAGCTTTATTTTTCTTTTTACAAAGTCCTTATCTGTTAGAGAGATACACTTAAGTGTTCTTTTTTTAATAAGTATTTTTTTAAGTTGATGTATAATTGACATACAACATTGGTTCCAAGTATACAGCACGGTGATTCAATAGTTACACACGTTATGTCGTCCTCACCCCAAGTAGTGCAATTACTGTCTCTCAACACAGAAAAATATTACAGACCATTGACTGCATTCTTTATGCTGCACTTCCATCCTCATGAACAATTTATATTATTATTGAGATTTTTGTGCCTCTTTATTCCCCTCACGCACCCTACCCATCTACCCCAACCTCTCCCCAGTGGTAACTTTCAGTCACTTCTCATTGTCTATGAGTCTACTACTATTTTGTTCATTTTGTTTTGTTTTGGTTTTAGATTCCACATAAAAATGAAATAATATGGTGGTTGCTTTTCTCCACTTGGCTTATTTCAACTTAGCATAATACCCTCTAAGTCCATCCATATTGTTACAAATGGCAGCATTTCTTTTTTATGGCCAAATAATATTCTATTGTGTTTGTATCATATCTTCTTCATGGAAATTTTGGTTGCTTCCTTATGTTGGCTATTGTAAATAATGCAACAATAAACATAGGGGTGCATATATCTTTTTGAATTAGAAATTTTGTTTTTTGAGGGTAAATTCCTAGAAGAGAAGTTACTGGGTCAAGAGATGTTTCTATTTTTAGTTCTTTGAGGAACCTCCATACTGTTTTCCATGGTGGCTGTACCAATTGCCATTCACACCAACAGTGTAGGAGGGGTCCCATCTCTCCATATCCTCGCCAACACTTATTATTTCTTGTCTTTTGGATAGCGGCCATTCTGACCGGTGTGAGGTGATAGATATCTCATTGTGGTTTTGGTTTGCATTTCCCTGATGATTACTGATGGGGAGCATCTTACACTTAAATATTCTTGAGTGAAATTATATGATATCTGACATGTGCTTTAAAATTCTCCTGTTTACCAAAAAAAAAGGGGGTGGAGTAGAGATGAGCAGGAATAGCACTGAGTTGTTGAAACTGGCTGATAGGTACATGTGGGGTCATTGTACTGTCTCTCTATTTTTGTGTATGTTTGAGAATTTTTGTAATAAAAGGTTTTTAAAACCAACTAGTTAATATAAAATATTTACTCAATTTCCAGTTGTCCCATAATTTCGTAGAATTTTGCATTGTTTATTTGAATCAGAATCCAAATAAGGCCCATTTATTGAAGTTGGTTAGGTCTTTTAGACTCTCCCGGCCTAAAGGTTCCATCTCTCGGTCTTTCTTTTAAGAAATTGGACTGTTTATTATGGAGTTTTGCCCTGCTTGGATTTTGCTTATTGCATCCCCATGGTGTGGTTTAGCCTGTTCTTCTCTCTCTGTTTCCTTTAGATGGAAAGTTGGATCAATTTCAAATTCATTTTGGTGGGACAAGATTATCTCATAGTTGGTTGTTTTTGCCCATCAGGAGGTAGTAATGTCTGTTTGTTTATTTTGGGGGGCATGTTAGCAATCAGTGATTGACTGATTTCAATACCTAAATCAGTCGTTCATTAGAGGTGACAAAATGATAATATTCTAATCCTTCATTTGTTAGCCAGAATACTTCCATTAAAAAAAAACTCATCTGTTTGCTTAGAGGTATGGGAAAGATGAGGAAAATGCTGGATTTGTCTTTAAAATTCTTCTTTTTGATGTCCAATTGTCCTGTTTTTGGCCAGTGGGAACCTCTTCAAGTAGGCCTCAAGTCCTTTTGACACGAACTCAGCAGTCTTTGATAGTTTCCTTGTCATCTGGTATCTAATGTAGAGATTGCACAGTTCAGGGACTCTCTAGGGAACTTGGTTCCTTTTACTGGACAACTGTTTAGAGATCATACTCTGGGTACTAGGGATGCTCATTGTTAGTAGGTGGTCTTTGTTTCTAAGCCTTTTCAGTGTTCAGACCTAGCAAATGTGTGTTGTATGTTTTAATCAGCTTTATTGAGATATAATTTGCATACCATAAATTTACCTAATTTAAATGTACAACTATGAGTTTGACAAGTGACCGCAATGACAATTTAGTACATTTCCATCACCCCAAAAAATTCCCCTCATGCCCTTTAGGACTGCAAGGTGTTTTTTTCTGTTGTTGTTTGTTTGTTTTATTTTGGTATCATTAATCTAAAATTACATGAAGGACATTATGTTTACTAGGCTCCCCCCTTCACCAATTCCCCCCCACATACTCCTTCACAGTCACTGTCCATCAACGTAATAAGATGCTGTAAAAT